TGGAATCGAGATAAATAAATTGTATTTATATAGCTAAATATATTGCCTTGGGTTTTGGTAAATTTTAAAAGCAGTACCAAATAATTGTTTTTAACAAAAGAATGCAGCATCATTATATTATGATAATTGGATAATGAATCAATTCAACTTTCGACTATTTAGGGAGGGGTATTTAGGGAGGGGTATTTAAGAGGGCTTTAAATTTGAAGTCAGGTTTAATTGGTGAGAAAACAATTAAAAATTTTATTAAAAAAGATTAAAACAAAACAAATATACAACGTAATATATATTTAAAAAAAAAATTACAAAACTATAATAAAAAAAAACACCAAACAAAAAATTACAAAATTAAAAAAAAAAAAAAACGAAGAAAAAGCAGCAACTAAAAAGTCATAAATATCTCTACTGATAGAAGACATTTGCAATCTTTTGGTCGCTGTTTTTTCTTCGGTGTCTCCCAACACCCCGGTATGGATAAGCCCTCCATTTAAAGGAGAACTCATCCATACCGCCATTACGTTTCCATTTATTGAAGGACCTCTTTGAGAGAGGTCCAGGGTGTTGGGAACGATAATTTTGATATTGTTCGAATGATAAGGAATCTAAAGTTACAAATAGAAGAGTATAATAAAAATTATACATTTGCAATTATTAAAAAAAAAAAAAATTAGCATAACCTCACCATTTTCATTCGAAACAGAAGATGCTAAAAAAAAAAAAAAAAAAAGAGCAAATTAATAAGGGTTAAACATAAATATAAAAAGTTATAATATATCTTAAAAATATCTAAAGTTACAAATAGAAGAGTATAATAAAAATTATACATTTGCAATTATTAAAAAAAAAAAAAATTAGCATAACCTCACCATTTTCATTCAAAACAGAAGATGCTAAAAAAAAAAAAAAAAAAAAGAGCAAATTAATAAGGGTTAAACATGCAATATTTTGTATTTAAATAAATATATAGGGCAATAATGCAACCAGTTCAAAAGTGTCATATTTATTAATTAATTTTTTCACCTATTGCATATATTTTTCCATACAAAATTTATAAAATATAAAACACAATCCTACCAGCTATACTTCCACCTGACACTAAAGACAAATATATATAAAATAAATCCCATCCCCCTCATTTCATCCATAAAGTTGTCTAAAGTAAGAAAAAAATAACTAAAGCTAAAAACAAAACTATAAACTAAACCAAAACTATATACTAAAGTAAACTTTAAATCTTCTAAATATTAATGCTTTATTTATTAAACTAAACTAATCATAATTTATACTTAGTTTTTGTTCCAACTCCCCTAAAAAAAAGTATAAAAAAAAAGGTAAAGAACTTGATTTTTTAAAATTCCAGTGGCAGTACAAATAAACAAATTCCTATTAACAAATATCTAATAGCAAAAACACTGACTTATTTCCTTCTTTACTTCTGTATCTAAACAATAAAAGCACTTTAATGTTTAGACGTTAAAATATCGATAAAACACATATTAAATGCTACATTCAACTAATGTAATTAATACCTTTATTAGATCTCTCTTGATTAACTAAAGAATTTAAATTTTAAATAAACTCTAACTAAATTTTAACAAACAAACAACCAAAATAAATCTTCATATTAATAGTACGTTATTAAGTTGATTAATAACGTACTATTAAAACAATTTAATCTACTCTAATAATCTACTACCTTATTAATAAACTTTAATTTTTTTTCTACGACTCAGTGTAACTATAATATAGATATTTTTAAAGTAAAAAAGAATTTAATATTATAATATATATGATTTTAAAAACCTGAAATTTTAAATCTACCTCGAAGAAAACAGATACATATTAAAAAGTATTTTTATTTCTTTTTAAAAATTTAAAAAATGCTTTATAACTTACTTGTTCCAATATTATCACCAACGTCTTAATAAAAAAACAAACAAACATTTAAGTCGACTCATTTTTAAATCTTATAATGTATATGATTTTAAAAACCTGAAACTTTAAATCTACCTCAAAGAAAACAGATATATATTGAAAAGTATTTTTATTTCTTTTTAAAAATTTAAAAATGCTTTTTAACTTACTTGCTTCAATATTGTCATCATCTAAATAGAAAAACAAACAAACATTTAAGTCGACTCTTAAATCTAGTTTAATTTCTTCAATAATAAAAAAAATTTAATGTTTGAGGATTAAATTCATTTACAAAACTTCGTTTAAGTTCGTTTAAACCATTTTAATATTGTAAAGTTAATTTAAATTAACAAACATATAAATGCAATTTATAACATTTGTTAATAACAAAATGAAAGAAAACTTACTTCTTAGTAATTCAGCAACTAAAAATAAACATAAATTTAAGAACTAACAACATAACATTATACATCTGTAACATAATACACATCTAAATAAATACAAACCTTCATCTTCAATCTGATTCATTCTATTAATTCGATATAAAAAATAAAAACAAATATGCTTAAAAACAAATTTAATAAAGGTAATAGACATGTTAAAACATAAAAAATGAAAACGATTGAATTGATTAAACTGAATATGACCTACTTGATAGGTACGATTAGATGTAAAAAAAAATTATAACGAAAACGCGCTTTTTAAAATAAGTCTGGAAATTCCAATCTCAAAATTCCAGAACAGAAGAAAAACTGCGCACAAACCAAACTGCGCAACACTTAGCGCAGTAACTAAAGTAAAAGAGCATTTAATTTAGCTATGCAAATTACATCACGCATGTTTAATTAAGTACGTTATGATTATCAACTTTAAAAAATGGCTAAAATTTAAACTCATTACGCAACTAATCAATTTATTTACTAATAAGTGCAATAAACATATCTGTACATATAGATAATTTTAGGAGCTAACTTGTCTTAATTCCATTTTTGTGTAAATGAGTTTAATACAAACTTGTCGCATATTCTGACGGGGCCAAATAGCCTTCTAATTTTTATTTACTGCGGTTTAACAGGAAACAAAAATCAATCTAGTCTTAAATCCATTTTATTAGCTAAAAAATCATAAAAGAGTATTACTATACTATCACATTTATACTTGTATGTATCACATTTTGCTACTAAACATGTTTTAAATTGACTTTTGAGGTTGTTAACGTGACATAATCTCATGTTTGCAAACAAAGCTAACCGGACCCGGTCATGTTAAGCCTTCTAAACTCTGATTATTTCTATATTGAATAGATGGCCTCTTTATTTCAATAATTTTTTGCAAACGGTAAAGTAATTTGCTGCCATTTACTAAATATTCTTTTTATTACTCGAAGTTTCGGTTTCGTCAATATTTTGACATCTCCGCTAATTAAGAGTTCCTCCCCTTTTTTTGTTTTAATGGTAGCCATGTGAGTAGAGTTTTTTTTATTAAGAGAAATCTATTTATGATGAAGAGCTTTTACCAAAATAATAAAGCGTAAAACAACGATTTACATATATAAGAATTTTTTCTTTCCTCAAAATTGTTGCAATTGCAGACTAAACTAATCAACTTAATATTTGACAAACTGCAAGTTTCCCTGCGTTTTTAACAACGAATTATTAAAGCATAAAATAGGGAAAACATCGGAAAAAAATATATATATTAATGTCTTTATATCTTTTTAACAAACTAACAAAATTTTACAAATTTAGGAAATCAAGTTTTTTTTTTTAATATTGTATTAATACGTCATATGGTAAAATCTAAAATAAAAAAAGTAACGGAATTATAACATCAACAACAAAAGTAACGGAATTATAACGGAATTATAACATATATATATATATATATATATATATATATATATATATATATATATATATATATATATATATATATATATATATATATATATATATATATATATATATATATATATATATATATATATATATATATATATATATATATATATATATATATATATATACACACACCATATATAAACACTGAAAACCGATTTACCTGTTTTTGTAACCTTTTGATATTGCAGTTAATATAAACATTTATAGAAAAAAGTAGCTATAAAATCTTTTTCGAAGTACTAAAGGATTAACAATACTAAAGAAAAAAAAAATTGAATAAAGACATAAATTGAATTTATAGCAAGATTTTGTCTTGGCTTTTAGTAAATGAATAAAAGCAGCAAGTTCCAATAATGAAACTATCTATTATTCATTTTTAACGATAGACACCAACGGGAAGGTAAGCCAAGCTGTCTATCAACACAAAACATCACAACAGTATAACAATATTATACATTATAACAATACATTACAACATTATAACAATAACACATAACATTAACACATATTCACACCTATATAACTAATATTTACACCCTTGACTCTAAAATCCAGTGGAAAAAAACAAACCAATTTTAAAAGAATATGAAAGGCAAAACTAAAAAACCAATTTTGAGTTATCTATATTTATCCTTTTACTAAACTTTAATATAGTATATTTGCTTTTATATTCAATATTAGTTATTCAATTATTTTTAAATTTAAGGATCAAGGTTGCATACTCTTTTATACACATTACACAAAACATTACCAGACATTATGTGTTTCCAGAATAATTAAAAAAGCTAGACAACACCACCTAGCTCTAAAGCAGTAAAACCGCCTGGCGCAAAATGGTGCCAAGTCACACCTCTGCTATAAGTACACCGCTTGGCTGGCAAGGTTAACAATCTTGCTTAACATTTTGCAAAGTCACACCACTTTGAAAACATGGAAACAACATAATGTAAACATATATATAAACTATAAACAAATATGACTTCATATAACACATATAAACACAATATATAACAATATTAAATGACAAATATATTTATCAAAAGCTACGAAAAAAATAAAAATATTAAAGTTACACATACAAAATGTGCTCACAACCTACAAACAGTAAATTTTAGAAATGAAAATAATAAGACTATAAATTAAGAACATTAGAAAATATAACATTATTTGTTTAGTATTTTTCACCTACCATACCTTGAATAGGATGTTTATCAATTTTGAAAAACAAACTATTAAATGCTCTAGTTCTTGAACATGCAACGTATAGTTGACCATGGGAGAAACACGGTTTTTTTAGATATACCCCAACTCTATCAAATGTTTGACCTTGACTTTTATTGATTGTCATCGAATAAGCTAATCTGACAGGAAACTGACGACGTTTTAGAACAAAAGGTAAATTAGAATCTGATGGAGCCAACTGAATTCGAGGAACAAATACCCGTTTACCTTCAGAAACACCTGTCAAAACCTCTGCATCAATATAATTGTTTTGGAGAGCACAAACTTTCATTCGGGTTCCATTACATAGCCCAGCTTTAAGATCTAAATTTCTAAGTAGCATAATTACACAACCAATTTCAATTTTAAACAATGAGTAGGCATACCTGAAGGAGTTAGGCTGTTCAAAAACTCAACAGGGAAATTATTTCTTTCATTATGATCGTCAGTGTCTATTTGATCAGCACTTAAATAAGTTTTGACCTCTCCATGTAGACGTTCAAGCACTTCTTCATTGATTGACAATGAATCCACATTGGTGGGTGCTAAAATGACACGTTTAGCATAATCATCTTGTTGAGCATCTCCAAATATTTTTTCAACAATTGATTCGTTTTCTCTAATAATGCACTGTTGCGGTAATTCAATACATCCCTTAAAAGGATCTTCCTCCTTGCCAGGTATTGTTCCGCTACCAAGTTTTAACAGCCATTCGGAAAAATCTCCTTCTCCATCTCTCTCATATTTTCAGTTAATGTAAACTTATGCACCAATTGCCACTGTAAAGAACATTTTATACATGATTCTACAACTTCAGCTGGTCTCCCTCTTTTCACAACAGGCAAAATTTGCCTAAAATCACCACCAAAAAGAATGACTTTTCCTCCAAATGGAAAGTTGTTGTTGCAAACATCTTTTAACAACCGATCGATTGCATTTAAAGCGTGTTTGGGAATCATGGATGTCTCGTCAAGCATAAACAAACTAACTTGCCTTAAAAATTGTCCCTGAATAGAGTTAGGAGTCACATTACATGTGCTGTTATCCAGTATTGGGACAGGAAGTTTAAATAACCCGTGCAGCGTAGATCCATTTGTAAGAAGAGTTGCTGCTATGCCAGTCCATGCAGCTGTAGCAGATTTAACACCCCTACTGCTCATTTCAGCAATCAAATAATTATATGTAAAAGTTTTGCCACTACCGGCTGGTCCATCCATAAAAAACAATCTGGAATGTTGATTTTCTACACATGGTTGCTCGTTCAATGCAGCAAAGACAGCATTACTTACATTTAATTGATTGACATTAAGAAGCGGTCTCATTCGATTAGCTTCGTCAATTGATTGCTGAACATTATCATTTAAATTTTCTAGATTAAAATCTATGAATTCATCAACAACAGGCAAATTATAATCAGATAGCGTTTTACCACTTTGATTAATAATCTTTTCGATTTAAAGAAGAGTAGCTTGTTCAGCTAATATAAATGGAACTTGGCGATGAATAAAATCCTCCATCATAAAGGCTTTGTATGAATTCCAAAGATGCAAAGGGTCATCAGGTTCACAAAAGGTTAAAATAATTGAAAACAGCTGCCTGATTTGCATAGGCATTTGCGTTAAAACTGCCTCAGAAAGAGTATTCTGCCATTCAGTGTCATCTTGCAACAAACCATTAAAAACACACGCTTCACGAAAGGTTTCAAGAACTATTCCATTAACAGTACGCAAATCCTCCCAAGAATTTGATCCTTTTGTTTGTAAAAGTAACAATCTAAGAAAAAATAATTCTCCTGTTGGACTAACTTTATACATTCTTACTATCACCTTATTTCCACCTCTTTGTCTAACCTTCCATTTACAATGTTTATCATCAAATACAAAGTGATATGTAATGTCAACATATGAATAGCGATTAGCTCCTTCATTTTCAGAATTCAATTTAAACCAGGCCGTAAGGTGTGTATCACGTTGAGCAGCACGATCTAACGCCACTTGTTCTTCTCCTTCTCTAAAATACACAATCTGATTCTCAGGAAGATGAACTTTAAGACGGATAATAGAGTGTGACATATGACTTATGGGATACTCAAATATTCGCCACAGCGCCTCAGGTGCACTAACATAACGACAATCTAAGAAAGTGTTTATTTCATCGTGATTAACCTGTTCATTTATCAAAACATTCGCACAATCATGCCCTTTGTATATGTATTTATACAAATATTTAACAGCCTTCACAGACATGCAAGCTTCAACATTAATGTGGGCTTGATATTTCTTTGATAACCAAGGATTATAAGGTACCACCCAACGGTTATCTACATTATTGCCTTTAATATTGATAACCAACCCATTATCACGACGCCTATAGCGCGGATAACCATTGTGAACAGCTACTGTTTTGGCATTAAAATCTTTAGGATATTTTTTGCTGCACACCCCATCTTTCATGCAGGGAGAATTTGGATTCAGTATCCCACAAAGGCCGTGAATCATGCAAGTTTTGATAATATCATAAAGTTCACAATTAACTATCGGATCTGGAATTTCTGCACAAATCAAATTATCGATATCCTGTGATGTTTCAAGTTTATCATCATTTGCTAAATGAAGTAAAATGTGGGCATGCGGCAAACCACGCTTTTGAAACTCAATAACCTGAACAAGCGTTACAACTTTGCCTAATACACCATGTTTGAATATATCATTGAGGAGGTTATTTAACTTGAGTTTAAATACTCGAGTAACCAAATCAGGTCTATCATTCGCATTCTGACCCGGATATAAATTTTCTGTTATTTCACGCAATTTTGGGTTGCAAGTAAAAGTTATAAAAAGATCTGGTTTACCATACTTTTTAATAATTGCCATAGCATCTTCAAAGTTTTCTTTTAAAGCTCTAGGACTTCCTACATAAGATGATGGCAAAACTACTACTCGTCCTGGTCTAATATTACGATCATTGGCAATGTTGTTAATATGTTCATGTAAGGCATCGTACTGCTCGCTTCTCAGCTTATTTTGATTATTTCTGATAAAAGCAAGACGCTGGCCTTCAATTTTTACATATGCATCTACAGCATACTGCTGAAATAGTTTCTTGCCATAAAATAATGAACAGAAAAATTGCCTAACAGAAAGTCTATAATTGTAGAACTGAGATAATGTAACATGATTTCTAACCAGTGTGGCACGCTCAGGGTTATGCACCAATTGATTATGCCAACCAGCATCACCTCTTAGAAAAAATAGCGGATAAACCATAGGATCCAAGTTGGCTGACATACTTGATACAATTTTTAAAGGATGACCTCTTGGGTAAATAACAACTTCCCTGGAAGTTGGGGGAGCACCATCTTCGCCAACAAATACAACTGCAACTTCATCATGTGAAGGTAGATTATAACGACGTCTATCACCGCCTTCAAGTAAAGACATTTTTACAACAGAAGCTGAGCGACCTTCTATAGCCGGCTTACGAATTTCTTCATCTTCTACTTCAGCCATGTTTTTAAATGCAAGAGCAAATGGACTTTGTTCCATAATTATAGTTTGCAATTGAAACATTAAATCACGTAAACAAAGATCATTAGCATAGTGTTGCATTCTAAAATTTAGTGCAGCAAGTGGATCATAAATATATAGTTGAGAATATATTGGTGGAATATCTTGATCTGGCCTAAGATTACCTACACGATGAAAAATCTGGCCACATATTTTAAAACATGGAAGCCCATGATTCATTGGTTGAACTACATTTGCTGTAAAAGAAACAAAAGAAAGGCAGGCATTATAATTTCGAATATGTTTTAAAAAATTAGCATTAGCATTACAATCTACATAACTCCCTGTAAACAAACCCTGTAAAGCTTGTGTAATTGGTGAAAATGGAGGCAAAGCTACCATACCATTATGGCAACATAGAAAATGTGTTTCATCTGAAAATTTCTTAGCACCACAGTGCTGACAAATTTGATTCATTTCTCCTAAATAATTATAATCTGGAATAGCATTACTTCTCGCTATAGAATACATTCGTCCTTGTCCAACAGCTCTTCTTTCATTTTGGCGACGATTAACATTATCTCGATCGAGCCTATTTCTTTCATTTTAGCGACGATTAACATTATCTCGATCGAGCCTATTTCTTTCATTTTGTAAACAATTAATTTCATCTCGCCTAAGTCTATTTCTTTCATTTTGTAAACAATTAATTTCATCTCGCCTAAGTCTATTTCTTTCATTTCGTCTACGATTATTTTCAACACGCCTTATAGCACTTACATCATCTTGTAAATACAAAACTACATCTAGCCTATCATCCATTTCAATGTCATCATTTTCATTAAACATATTTATCAAAGCAACACTAATTATTTCTTTTTTTTTTACTAATCTAAAGTTAACAATAAAATAAAAAAACTTAATAACTAAAAAAATCATACTCGAAAAATTAAAAAAAAAAATTTCAAAACAAATATATATATAAAGAAACCAAACAAATGCAAAATAAAATTAATTTGCTCTCATCAAAAGTAATACAGGTTTCTTAAGTTTATTTGATAGAAGTTAAGAAAAACCTGCAACCACATCAGCAAAAACTTATTAAAACTTATTTTATTTCTGATAAAAAAAAAAAAAAGTTGCGACAGCGTCATAGTTCATGCGTTGGGAGAAAACATTGAACAAAACACGTAATAAAACTTATTAATGCATTATTAATGCATTATGTACGATAGAAAACAGGTTATTAACGCGGGTTTATAATTTTTTTTCTTCTAACACACTATTATGCTGTCGCAACTCCAAGGATATATATAGTTATATATAGTTATATATAGTTATATATATATATATATATATATATATATATATATATATATATATATATATATATATATATATATATATATATATATATATATATATATATATATATATATATATATATATATATATATATATATATATATATATATATATATATATATATATATATATATATATATATATATATATATATATACAGAACTATTTATTAGTGAAAACATATGAAAACCAAAATTTTTTTTACAATATATATAGTATATATTTGATAAATAAACCTCTACAATTTCTTTGGTTCAACAACTCGATAATGATTAATAACAACTCTGTAAACATGAATTTTCTAATAATTTAAATCTTAATAAATTATAACAATTAACTACTTATTTAAACAAATAATTACTTATTAAATTTTAAAAGATTTTATATATACGTAATGTCTACTTAGAAATACTTAATGTCTATTTATACATTAAAAAGATCTACAATTTTGAAAACCTGAAACTTTAAATCTACCTCAAAAAAAACAGATATATATTGAAAAGTATTTTTATTTCTTTTTAAAAATTTAAAAATGCTTTTTAACTTACTCCCTCCAATATTATTATATAATTTATAGTATATATTGATAAATAAACCTCTACAATTTTCTTGGTTTAACAACTTTTTTAAACTTGGTTTAAAAAAATTTCTAATAAATACATATTTAGATACCTTAAAATGAAGCATAACACAACACTCTTTTGACAAATTCCAGAAGAAATTTTCTTAATTTTTTTATTCCTTATTATTTTTCCTTAGAGAATATATATATGTAGATATAGAGAAATATAAAATAGACTGAAATATATCGAAAACTTTAATTTATGTATGAGAAAATAACTTGAACTTACTAAAAAAGCGATCAGCTTCTCTAAACTGCTTAAAACGTTATATATATGCGTTATATTTGAAGCAAAGCAAACTATCAAAAAATATCAGAATATATCATTGATTACGATTGGGACAAAAACTTTACTAATCATTCAGCAAACTTTAACTACCAACTACTTTTAAACAAATATATGGAAGCTGTGTGCAAATACATTCTGTTCCCTTTAAAACAAAAAAAGAACTTTGGACCACACTGGAAGTTAAAGAAGCGGTTTTTCATAAACGTAATCTCTGAAGGCAATATGTCGCTTCTCGAACTAAAAAACATAAAGCACTTAGGAGTAAGCATAAAATAGCTTAAACATGTATCAGAGGTAATAAAAAAAGCTGTTAAAAGATACGAACATCAGTTAGCTAGTGTTTTCAAAAATGACATAAAGAAACTTTATGATCACATCAAAAATAAAGAAGAAACTAAAAACTCACTTCAAGCTCTCGAAGATGACAATAAAAAACATTATAACCGACGGTGCAGTTATTTCAGATATTCTAAACAATTACTTTCATTCTGTATTTACTACTGAAAAACCAGATTTGCTGCCAGATTTCGGATCACGTAA